GGGGTGACAGGGCCTTCTCCTCCTGCTGGAACTGTCGGAGAGAGTCTCCTGCCCATCCCGACTCCAGCCCTTCCTCTGACTCTGGGCTCCTGTTTGTCGACACTCTGGGGGTGACAGGGCCTTCTCCTCCTGCTGGAACTGTCGGAGAGAGTCTCCTGCCCATCCCGACTCTAGCCCTTCCTCTGCAGTGTTGAACTGGATCTGCCTGTTGTTGTGAAGTCACTCTGGAAAGCGTTTTGAGAAGGCGCTCTGAAAGGCGCAATATGAAATGAAGCTTCGTCCCTCAGGCTGTCAGGCTCTACCGGCACGCACCCCAGTTCCAGAAACGGGGTTTAAACCCCCCCAGTGTGTTGTGTAGCTTGTATGTATTTACCTTCTGATTTGCACTGTGTGTATCCTGTCAGCGACGTCGATGTCCTGCCCGTATTTGCACGGTGGACCAGGAGGAAGGATGTGTCTTTCCACTGTGTGCCTGTACGTGGCTGGAGTGACACATAAACGTCAACTTGACCTGAAGGGCCCATTTCGATCGTAGCAGCGCATCTTGTCCAGAAGAGGGCAGGCTGTTCCTCGTTATGGGCCTCGTCTTGGAGAATCTGCCGCTGTCTGAACTGGGGAATTCTGGGACCTGGCCTTTAACTCACAGGCGGCAAATTCAGGAGAAGCCATATTTACGTCATGTGGAAGGTTACAATTATTCTTTCTATGTGTGTTCTGGACCTCCACTGCTGGACCAGCTGTCTTAACGGAACCGGACCTGAACCACCGGACCGGCTGTCCTCCTGGTGTAACAGGACCGGATCAGGACCATCGGTCCATCCAGTATGTCAGTGTTCATTGCAGGTTTTCTTCACAACTTCTTAAGATGCAAATTCAACTATTTTTGATCTGCTCCTGCTCTTGCCCTCAGAAAGCAGGACTGAGGTGCTCATGAGCGTTTCCGATCATCAGAAACCACAGAGGACGGGGAGTGTTCTGCCACTCCTTCACTGCAGGTCCGGCTGTGTCTCGTGCGAAGGAGGAGCTCTCGGGCTGTGCACTGGAGGGAAGGGGGTTGCAGGTTCAAAGCCGGGGGGGCCCTTTTGCAGGGCACAGCTCTGCCGCCTGCCCCTCGAGCGAAGTGCCTGACAGACGTCAAGGGATGACAGAGCCAGTAGCGTGAGGAGTGAGTAAATTGAGTCAGTAACAAGCTGAGGCCCCCGATCCCCACCTGCCTGCGGCTCAGGAGGAAGAGTCGCCAGGCCAGTACTGCAGTAAAAACACAGGACAGCCCAGTGAGATCAGGGTAAAAACACAGCCCAGTGAGATCAGGGTAAAAACACAGGACAGCCCAGTGAGATCAGGGTAAAAACACAGGACATCCCAGTGAGATCAGGGTAAAAACACAGGACAG